ATCTTCTCCCCCCTTTTTTCAGCAAAAAGGAAAAGGTAGAATTTGAGTTTTGCAATTCGATTGTCCTTTTGCATTTGAAAGGAAAATTAAAGGTAAATACACTAACTTTCGAAATGTTCACAATGTTTGAGATAGATGTTACTTTTCTTACTTTCGGTAGTAGATTTACTTGCTGCCGAAAGTTTGTTCCAGATCATATTGAGTCTTTTCTTGCTACCGGAAGTCTGTTCCGCATCACATTGAGCGAAGGTGTACTTTGCTCTAATTTTAATTGTCATGACATATTTTAAGTGCTAGTATGCGTCTGTCTTTTTGTAAGACTTATGACGTTGCGCTTGACAACCAATTAAGGTTGGCTTGTGCGCTTCTTGTGCGTCCGCCTTTTATAAAAGATTAGGACATGTTGCTCCCTTTGGCTAGACAAGAGCATAAGGTTGAAGAAGAGATCTTTGCCTTTATTCCTGTAATAGCAAACCATGGTCCCTGGTGGTCGTTCTTGTATTGACTAGATCCGACCCGACCCATGAACGATAACTTGGGTCACAGCAAGTGGGACTATGGGTTCCATCAGAAATCATATAAAATTCAGCATTTCATTGGTCTTTAAAAACTAAATTTTGAATTTAGAAGTGGATATTTAATCTCTTTAGAACTTTTAAAAAAAAAAGTTAAAGATGATTTCCACGGTTACAAATGGCTTTTTCACATTTTTTTGACTAAATTCATACACACACATCATTGTTCAGTCACTGGAGGACTCTTTTAATAATTTACTTGCCGATTGTTTTTTTTATATTTTGTTAAACAATAAGGGTATTTTAGATCATGAATTAAATTTCATGGATACAGAAGTCTAAATGAGATTACATGCTGACGTGTTGCGCTCACATTCAACTATTTCCAACAAAAACGACGTAGTTTTGTGGGAAAAAAGTTAATTTCTCTAATCTTTTTAATTATGCTAAGTTATCAAATCCTTAACTTATAATTAAAAAATTAGTATTTATATATAGGACATTAATGATCTAAATGATTCTCATATTATTTCCAAAAATTAAAAATATTGTACATTTTTTTATTGATTCCTATATATATATGTTTTTATGTTTGTGGTGACGGTTTGAAATCCTCACAGATTTAGGAAGTGGTGATGGTAACTTTTAGGGGAGAAGAGAAAAGGGACGGTAGTTGTGCGGTAGTGGAAAACAAGTAAAAGATAAGCGTATTTACTGAATAAGAAAACATTAGGGATAATATGTTAAAATTTTTTGGTCAACAAAGCTTTTTACCGATAAAAAATTGTACAAAGTAACAGAATGTCAGTGGAAATATTAAATCTAACAGAATTCTCATCAATTTGGATTAAATTGGTAAAAATTTGAAATTTAGATGATGAATTTGGTTTTCCAAAAATATTTTGGGTCAAATTGGCCAGAAACTTGATGTTTTGGGCAAAAGTGATCATTTTCTCAATTAGATTAGAATATTATAGAATGTTATTCACCACATTGTTACATCTTATACCATCAATTTTGATTGGTTGAAGATAAAATAGGACAGTTCTGTAAAAATAATCAACAGGACTCTAGATTTTCCATATATATAGATATATTATATGTATACCATTTAAATGTGGATAAAAAAAAAGAGAGCACATATATCACCAATCATGACTTTTACGATACTTTTTCAAAAAAGAAAAACATATAAATCTATTGTAATTAATTTTAATGATTTCATATCCATTCACTACCAAACAAAATATTCTAATGATTATTCTCTAACTTATTCAATATATCATCAATGCCGTTCTCTTATGTTGTTTTTAGAAATGGCCTATAGTTTTTTAAAATTTTTATATTTTTTTAAATTATCCAAAACAATTACTCCTTCCATCCCCTAATTATTGTCCACTTTGTCCAAAAAATTTTGTCCCAAAATTATTGTCCAATTTGACTTTTTATGGATCAAGTTACACATTTGTCCTTAGTAAAAAACATTATCCATTAAAATCTTTGTGGTTAAACAATTACTTATGTAGGGGTATATCCGGTTGTTCAAGGTAAAATATAGTTAAGTTTGACTAAAAATAAAATCTTTCATTTTAGTAAAACTGGACAATAATTATGGGACGGAGGGAGTATCATTTTCGTATTTAGTTTTATAATATTGTTTGTAAATGGGTTGGGCAACACCTGGTTAGGTATCTAGTTTTTTTTTTTATATATATTAATCCTTATTTTTTTATCACAAAATTAATGTTCAGTTTCAGTTTTTTTTTTTTATGCTAATAATACTAAAAGGAAATTAAACGGGACAAGTAAGTATTTCTTTTAATTAAAATCGTACCAAAACTTGGTTACTACCGTAACCCAATTCAATTCAGGATTTTAGAGGTATGATTTATCCGCCAGTAATATATAAAGTGAATTCAATTCGTCGGTGGGGTTAGATTTAGCTTTCGATACGAAAAGATGTTTGCCAAAACCCTTACCAACTACTAATTCGTAATCTTGAAACATGAAAACCTAATCATCAGTCTTAATTACATTTGGATAACCATTATGATCACACAATTCACAAGTATTTTTAAATGATTTTACTGCCAAAATACCCACAATTTACCTTCATAATAGCATATCAGAAAAAGTGAAATGCGATAAGCAGAAAATAAATAATTTGTCTTACTACATCTAATACTATTATTTTTTAGAGACAAAATAAAAGAGAAAAATCTCGAACCAAAAAGGGCTGCATATAATATAGACAAAAAAAAAAAAACTGCGTTTTAGACTAAAACTTGACCACCAAATTGATCAAATTGCTGGTATTATCATCATATCACATTACAAATTCGTCTTCATCCTAAGAAAATTTATTTCGCAACGTCTACAATTTGGTTACTACACATTAACCTAATCAATAGCCATTGTTTAAAACTAGCCAAACGTAGTAACACCATCTGCCACACAAAAACCCACACAACCCACCAAAACCATTCAAATCATTGCAATTGTTTTTCTCTCTCTTTTATTATATCCAAACTCCACCACCCCTTTTCTTTTTCTTCTAGATACATGTGAAAATCCGCCAACCAATAAAGAGCAGTCCAGGTCAGCTCAGGAAATATGTACAGCCAATAAGGGTTTGCCACATCATCAGATAAGAGGTACTTTTTCTATCGAAGGGAAATTCTTTTTGGCAGTTTTGGTTGGGTTGTATGGGAATGGGGTGGCAAATGGCATAAGAGTTTAGGATAAAATAAGGAACTGATCCAATCAGGAAATCTACTGGTGTGCCCATGATGAGGATTACACATCCTTTGAATTGCCCAAAATGCCCTCCTTTTTAGATTTGGGCATGATTGTACGACAAAGACCCGTTATGTTGAGGATTTTATGGCAATTACATACTTCTCAGATTCATTTGAGATCTTGCCCTAGTTAATTTTTTTTTTCATTCGTAAAGATCATAGTTTATTGTAAAATTTTAGAAATTGAAATTGTTATAACAGAAAATAAGTCCCGTTAAATTATGAAATGATTAGGACAAACAGATTGCACATAAAACACAAACTCATATTGATCTACCATATTGAGATTAGAAACCACATTTCTGGTTTGGGACAAGATACATGTATAGTAGCATAAGAAAAGTACATAATAAAAGGTGTTAGTAATTAAGAGTTGAATTTTGTGAATTTTGAATGAGATTTATGTTAACAAGGTAAGAAGTGGCTTTAGCTGCTTTAGTTTTTTACTTTTTGTGGATGAACAAGGTCCATGAAGTTGCTTTGGTCATTTTATTCCCCCTCCGTAAATGAACAAGGCAGCAAAGTAACTTTATTCTGCTATCTAGTTCTAATTTCTTTAAAGTCTCTTTATAGTTTTGTAACTTTTGTTTTTCATGAAAAAATACGTTATTACGATATTTAAAATTGTGAATGACATTATAAATCTAGATCTTGTAATTATAATTTATTCGAACCATCTCAACCCAAATAAGATAGCATGTTTAACAATTTTTTTGGTGACCAACTTTGTCTTCCAACTCGATTGTATCAACCTGCTCATTATCAAGGTTTTCATAATTAATATGATCACATCATTAAAGTCATTTTTTGCATTGAATATTGGAAAAATATAACGATATGATTACATCTTGCTTGCATGGAAGTTAAATTGATCTAATTGGATTGACCTAGTAGTGCAATTGAAGAGTCAAAATGATTGGAGAGTTCAGCTTTTCCTAAATAAAATATAGAAAAAGATACATTAATTATGGTAGTATGTTCAATTATTTTTGGGGGAGGTGGAGATGTGACACCAATCTAATTCACGAAAGAGGTAACCTAAGACAAAATCTTTTTTCTTCAAAGACTTTAAAAAACAATTTTCGACTTCATATTTTTGCATCAAAAATATATAAAGTTATACCGGCAATATATCTAGTTAATTTAAAAAATGAAAAATAATAAACAAATGTGTTTTCAAATACATTCGAACGAATAATCCAGTCTCCTACAATAGTATACGAAATTGTTGTTTCATTAATCCAAATTCTTGCCGGTAAAGATAAAACCCTTTCAATAAGTATTACTATCATTACATATTAATGATGGATTTGAATGTTTTATAATATAATTAAGTAAACCAATGCATCATTATAATCCTATGTACGTAAATCCAATTTAATTGTGCTCGAGAGATTTAAAGTCTACAAAAATTTTAAAAAGAGGGTAGAATTCAAATCTGAAGAGCCAGAATATCATCAACTTACCCCTTTAGGCTTTAAGCTTTAGAACAAAAAAGTGGTCCATAAAATATTTTGCCTAATCTTTTCCCTGTTGTCCCTTTCTACCTCAGATTTCCATCACTCAACCACACTTCTCTCCCCCAATCTTTCATCTTTCTTTCCATCAGTGTTACTGCCCACTTTACCGTCAGTCTCTGTGTGTGTGTGTAATAACAGAGAGGGGTGGGGTGGGGTTGGGGGTGTGGTGTGGTATAGGGTGCAGAGTTGTTTTCGTCAGCTCTATCCACAGAACTTCAGCAGAGCATTTTGACCTTTTATCTGCTGCCCTCGTGACTCTTGAAGTATGCCCCCCAAAAAATTATCTCACTCTCACAGATGGCCTATACGTATAAAAGGCTGTCCCATCTTGGGATTCTTTTTACTAGATATCTTTCCTCTTTGAGATATTTTCAAGTCTGAATTTTTCATCCCTTTTCATGTCCTTGCTTATATATAGAGTAATTTGATGTGTTTCAGCCTTTCAGCTGCTGCAATTTAGCTTTACTTTTAGGGGGGTTCCAATTTCATCATCTCTGTTCTTTTTTATTTCAGAGGTTTTTGACCCACTGTTTTCCAAGGAACAAGGATCTAGGATAGCTGTTTAAGGAAACAAGCTCGACTTTCAATTCTCTGAGTATTTTGAATCCAAAAATTAACCATTTGTTGCAAAGACTCGTTCTTTCAAATTAGCGGCAAATTCAAGGTAGTCATTTTGGAGATACTGGTTTTGGTTTCCTTGGACTTGTATATTTAAAGAAGTTTTTCTGGTGACCAGCTAAAGAACTGTTAAAAAGGTTTTTGGCTTTTTCTCCTTTTTTTTAATGGTCATCAAGTTTTAGGTAATTCTCAGTACAAGCCAAGTAGAACCCAAGGGGTTTAAGGGCGACTGTACTTTGCTTTTTTCCCTTCTTCTTTCTTCATAGACAGTTCTGATTGTCTCTGGAACTTCTGCAGAATTCCAAGCTGCTCTCTTTGCTAAAGTTTCTGACCTCTCTCTGAATTTCCATTCCTTTCTATTGTGTTTGGGTTTGCCTAGAAATTCCCATTTCTTCAAGCCCTTTTGAACTCTGTTTTGATTGGAGCCATTTTCAATTTCTGGGGGGCAGAAAGATTGAATTTTTTTGCTTCAATCTTTCCCTATATCGATAGGATTACACACCAAAAAAATGTCTTCTTGTTTGAGTGGAGGAGGGCGAGCAATTAGATTAGACCTCGAGATTATTAAGTCCCCTTCTACATCATGGACTTCAAATTCATCATCTCCATCTTCAACTCTATCAGAATCGAGCAATTCTCCATTAGCAATCTCCACAAGAAAACCTCGAACCCCTCGAAAAAGGCCTAATCAAACTTACAATGAAGCAGCCGCCATTCTGTCCACTGCTTATCCCAAAATTTTCCCCACTAAACACCTCACAAAGCCTTGCAAGTTCACTAAACAACAGCAATATCTTACCTTTCCTTATGAATCCTCGGATTTATTACTACCATTTCGGGTAATCGATGCATCCAGTTTCTTGGTAGAACAGCATCATCACCATCCACAGATTCTAGATAAGCCGAATCATCATCATCATAATCATCAATCCAGTGAGCAAAAAGTGACCAATTCTTGTGATAAGCCCTGTTTGAGTCCCGGTGAAATTAATTCAAAAATCAATCTTTTGGATTTTGAAGATGAATTCAACGAGGATTTCGATGCAGAATCAATGCTTGATGAGGAAATTGAAGAGGGCATTGATAGTATCATGGGGAATTCATGCTCTGAAGTTGAACCACTTGAAGAACAGAGTGATTTATTGTGCCAGAACAACAGTATCACAACTAGCCAAATGCCTCCATTGGGTACATGTTATGGTTATCCTGTGGGACTTGGATTTGGAAATTATTTTGATTATGGATTTGGTATGAAAAACAATGGCATCAGAGCATTTAGAAACCATTCTGATGGGGAAGATTGGTGGAGATTTCCCAGTGTAAATGTTCATGACATCACCCCAAAATTCCAAAAGTCTCCGGCAACAAAGAAGAAGAAAAAGAAGGTGGAGAAACTGGTGGAATTGAAGAACATTACCGATCCATTACCCAAGGAAACTTCCAATTCCAATTCCAACTCAAACTCAGATTCGATTTCCTCCTCTCGAGCTGTGAAAGAAAGTAGCACTGCACAAAAATTATCAGATGGGGAGGCGAATGAGGCCGTGCCAAATACTGGGTTGTCGCTGAAATTGAACATTGATAATGTTTTGAAGGATTGGTCCGACGGGCCGTCCCCGTTTTCCGATGATTCTCCGGCGTTGGCTGACGCTTCTGGAACTGCAAGTGATGTCCAAGTACGTTCCTTTTTTCCTTCTTTGAGTAAATTAATTATAGTACTATTTTCAATTCACTTTTATTGGTACAAAATTTTGTGTCTATTTTTCTTCTTTGGATTTTCTTTCTAAACAGTTCTATAAAATTCTAAATGTCTAATAAAATTTTGGCGAATTGGAATTTTTTATTAGTCAATTTTATTCCATCATTGTGCTAATAGTTGGCTTTAGACGGCACATTTGAGTGGCTGGCTTGATTAGTAACTGCTAATGAATGAGACAAATCCATTTCAAGAATCTTAAATTTGTTGTAATTTTTTGAAATAATAACAACAATTGTTGAAGAATACTTGGTTATGACCGAATTGCAATTTCTCAAATTCTTTTTGTTAGATTTTTTGTCATTTTATTTATTTAGTTTTACTACAGGCAAAAGTTGTTTGGATTTTATTTTTCTTTCGAAAATAATACTCTTTTTTGGGTTTAACAAATAGGTTTCTAATTTTGGCACCCTTTTTCAAACACAACTAGTGTGGCTGTTTAAATTAATAAAAGGGGGTTTTGATTGGGGGAGGGGAGGAAAAAGTTTGCTTATTTTTTTATAATGTTAAAAGTATATTATATATTATGTGATGATTTCATGATTGGTATAGTTCTAATAATAATAATAATAAAAGGGCTCCATACTTTTTGCTTCCACGTGCTTGTTTCTTAACTTCATACTTACAGTGTTAATAATCATTGTACTATTAAACATACCTTTTGGTCAAATCATTTGCCCAATTACTCCTATTATTTTAAAAAAATGTGATTGGAATATTTATTTTGGAGCTAACTTTAATGTAAATAATTTTTGGTGTTTATGATATGGTTGTGTGTGCAGGCCAGGTTGGCGAAAATAGACTTGTTCTCAGAGAGCGGTGGAGTAAGAGAAGCCAGTGTCTTACGTTACAAAGAAAAGCGGCGAACTCGTCTTTTCTCCAAGAAAATTAGGTACCAAGTCCGTAAAGTTAATGCTGATCGACGCCCCAGAATGAAGGTAAAAACCCTTTCTCTTTTTTCTTATACTTTCGCTTTTTCTTAACGTTAATATTTTGAACTTAGATTGTTAAAATAAGACGAATGGAATTTTCTTTTTCTTTTTTTTTTTTCTATGATAGTGAATTGGAAAGAAGAAAAAAAAAGTTACTACCTCATTGGTCTTTGGTAAAGTCGTCAAGAACATTCTCTCAGCTGTTGATTTGGAGCCACGTAGTCCTAATCTTTTTTGTCTGGTTGAAATTTTTGCCAGTTCGATGGTTTATCGGGAGAAAGTGGTTTGGTTTAAACCAATTTTGTGGAGGTGGTGAATTGCATTGGTACATTATAGATTATACACCTTTGAAAGAAATAATTACTAGTATCTAAACTCTAAACAATAATTCGATTTGTTAATACTTTCTGTGTTTTAAAAGAACTTTTATTTGGGAATAAAGGATGTGATTATGTTTGTTGATAGACTAATTAACAGCATTTTTTACATGTCGGTCTATGTGTAAAGTTAGAGTAAGAATATAATTAGTATAATTCCATCTTAGCATCTTAGCAACAGGCACAGCATATGTATATGCGTATAAGATGGGATTCTTTTTTATACTCCCTCCGTCCCATAATTATTGTCTATTTTGCTTAAAAAATTTTGTCCTAAAATTATTGTCCAATTTGACTTTTTATAGATCAAGTTACACATTTGTCCTTAGTAAAAAACATTATCCATAAAATCTTCATGGTTAAACAATTACTTATGTAGGGGTATATCCGGTTGTTCAAGGTAAAATATAGTTAAGTTTGACTAAAAATAAAATTTTTCATTTTAGTAAAAGTGGACAATAATTATAGGACAGAGAGAGTATATTTTTCATTAAATTATTTCCTTTCACGGCATAATTTTACCATCTTTACTTTTAATCATTTGTTATATTTCTTTTGTCGTGATGGGAAAATTATACTTCAATTTGTAAAGAGAAACATAGGAGACTTTCGAGTGGATTCAGTATTATGCATTTTGTTTTGAAATTATTAACTAATCCAAAAAATCAAGACAGTTATTTTGCGACAAAAATAGTACGACCTTTGGTGATATTTTGTTAAAATCGGACAAGAATGTTTTTTGGCATACTTTTGAGTTTTGGTTTTGGCCCTTATCTTTTTGAAGTTGATGTAGCCATAAATGTCTCTGTTCTCTGTGATTTTATATTTGCATCTCTTTTACACACTTGCATTTTCCTTTTTTCTCTTTCCTGTAAATTAATTATTTTCCTTCTGCCTAATTATTTATTTTCGTTTGACTTATTCTTTTCGGTTTAATATTCTTTGCAGGGTCGATTTGTTAGAAGGCCAAATTCTCCTGATGATAGTGAGCAATAATAATAGATGAAGAAGGTTGGAAAAACTAGCAAAGCATATAATATAAGGTTTTTAGGTTCATACTATTTTTGAAGTACCAAAGGCTTTAGTGTAGACTAGTTTTTGCCAGACGAGTAGGTTTTTTATGAAGAGAAGATAATATCCCCCCTACAATTTTTTTTTTGGGGACAATGTCTCTAGAAATTTTGTTACTCCTTCCATCCCAAAAAAATAATTCACATTGAGTTTTCAAATTTGTATTAAAAATAATACAAAACTCAAAACTCAATGTAGACTATTTTTCTGGGACGGAGATAGTATATGTTTACCTTAGAGAAGTGCTTATCCCTGCAGTCGTATGGTCCATTTGGCTTCTCATTAATTTCGTGGTAAAAAATTAATTCTGTAACATTTTTCGCTTCAACTAAATACTGATACGAATTATTCATTCTAAAATGAAGATATTCATATCTATTATAGACACGAATACATATAAAAATGGAAATGAAAATGAAATCGCCATCCTACATATTACTGATTTGTCTTGTGGGTTCGTGTGTGTAAGAACAAACTTTGTTTTCTTTTCCAGCAATAATTGGGTAAACTAAGTACTTCCTCTTCCCTGACATTATTATTTACTTTAATTTTTTTAATTCAAATAATGTTAAAATTAAAAGTTTAAACTGAACAATTCAGTTTGAAACATATAAAATATATTAAAGGTGTTTAATACTTATCAAAAGTGGAAGAATTGATTTGCAAATAATTTCTAAAACCTTATTACAGTTCTGATTAAACAACTTATATTTGTTAAAAGAAAAGGGAAAAAATTAGGAAAAAAATCAAATTAAAGTTTAGCTAGTATCTCCAACGAGCCCGCTAAATTGAGCGGACACCTCACATTTGGCGGAGGGAACATATTTAGCGAATGCATTGGATTTAGCGGAGCAGGCGCTCCAATGCATTCCGCTCTGCTCTGTCCCACCAAAAAGCTCTGATACCCTTGTTATTTTTCTTTTTTAAAAATATTATTAAAGGTTTGGGCTAAAAGTAGGGTTTCTTTGGTTTTTTTTTTTTTTAAATTTTCTTTGGGCCAATTTTCTTCAATTTAGACTCTGTAGATTTATCTTTTACTATTTTTTTTTTAAATTTGGGTTATCTTGAGCCTAGTTATATCTTAATCAGTTGGAGTTATTGTAATTTTCTTACATATATATCTTGTTTTTACTTAATGTTTAAGTAGTAAAACTAAAAATTAATAATCATAATATGTTTTAATGAGTGAATTTAATATGGCAATGATAGAGACAGTGACAAATTATAATGAAATGGAACAGTGACTGATGAAAAGACAAATACACCATCCTCACTAAATAAGTGTATTTATTAATTAGCGATAAAAATGTAATTTTAAGAGAAAGATAAAATTTTAATGTGGAAGTTGCAAAAAACTAGGGGTCACGAATACTCCACATCACTCACTATCTTTTTTCACCATTTTTTTTTCACTATACATATCATTTTCCTTATGCAAATATGCATTGTATTTCCATGTTTGCGTTGTTTAAAATAATGTTTTTGAGGTTGCATTTGAAATGTCTTTTTAATAATTTAAATGTAATATTAGTAAGTGGTGTTGTTTATTATCATAAGCCAATTTTTATTTCGTTATTTTATTATTTATAATTTTATTTGATTCATGTATTATAAACTTTTTTGAGTATACTTAATTAAGTAATAATTTATAATTTTAATTTAATGATTAATATTACTCATCATTGTTGAATTTATTCATCATATTTGTAAATGTATATTTTTTTAATAATAGAATACATTAAAAAACAAATTACAAAAATTAATCAGACAATAATATACTCCCTCTGTCCCAGAAAAATAATCCAGTTTAAAAATATACAACTTTTTTAATTTGGTCAACACACCAAATGTACAACTCATTTTATGCCCCTAACTTCCACTAATGCCCCTTCTAGTTATTTTTATAAAAGTTAACTACATATGCATTTATTTTACAACTTAAATTTGATCAAAATTTTTATCTCAAAAAATATTGACAATGAATCTTGATGGAAAGACCTCGTTACGTAGATTAATTTGATATATAACATATTTTTTAATTATCCATGTATTAAAAGATATAATTATTTGAAAAAATAGGAGAAAACAAAACAAATGAAAATCAAAAGTAATGGACCTTATTTTCCTTACCACTACTCTTTTGGATATTTAAGTCATTTTAATTTAATTAACTTTGAATTTTATAAAACTGGACTATTTTTTCATGACAAATTTTTTTATTAAATTGGACTATTTTTATGGGACGGAGCGAATAATACATAAAAGAATATATGAAGAAATTTCTTTTAGAGTGATTAGATTGGAGTTGACATTGAAACTATACAACTAGTTGGATTTCATTATTACAACTGTAAACATAGAGTTTATACCGTAAAAATTTCTGAGTTTTCACAACAATAAGACCGGAATTAACCTCAAATAATCAGTCGTCGATATGAATATATATACAGAGCTGTATGGAAATCAAGACATATGGCCGGCATAATTTGTAGGACCTTTAGGGTTGACCCGCTTGGCCGATCCTTTTAGAAATAAATATATATATATATATATATATATATATATATATATATACACACACGAAAAATGTCTTTCAAAGACTCAAAAAATTGCGAATTTATCTAAATTGGTCTTTCCAGAAAAATTCAAGGGAGGGGATGACTATCCCTACTTCATCCTGCTGCTGGTTCTCTCTCCGCCACGGGATATCTCGTGAGGTGATAACTCCAATTATACATATTATGTTGTTTAGACTTAGGAGTGAAATTTGTTGTATGAAAATGGGAGAATCTATCCAAGTAAAGCAAATTTAGCAGATAAATACCTAGGGATCAATTCTTGATTTCATTGTTATCTGCAAGAGTTTTACTGCACAGTTCATAATTTTTTTTTCGTAACCTGCTGAAATTGACTTTTCCAAAAGATAAAGAAAAAAAATTGCATGAACAATAATTTCGTTTAGATTCTAAAAACCAAAACAAATATAAAAAGTTACATCGAAAATGTAAAATGTGAAACGAGGTGACTAGAGAATACCAAAATGGCAATTTTAAGCTCTTGTTAATTTTAGATTTTCAATCTCACTTTTTAAAAGATAAAGCTAAGCAGAAAAAGTAAAAGTCAATATGGTCGATTGATCAAGTTTACAGTATCAAAGTGGGCTATTCTAAAAACTGTTGCTGACTAACTCTTGTTACAAGCTGCAAAACTCTAATACATCTAACCAAACAGCTACAATATGATTCCCAATAGAGAAAAACAGCTTGAAAATGGTATTTACAGGGTGGAAAAAACACTTATGGCACTAAAATGGGAAGAAAAAAACACCCGAAGAATCTCAAAAAGCAAAATGCCTCACAAGGCAGAGCCCTTCGGCAATGCTCCACATCCACAAATTATTTTAGTATGATCAGCCTTCATGATGGTGAACGTTCAGCCTTGGCAAAAAAGTTAAAAAAACTTTATGCCTCATCGACTGTTGGAGACAAGATTTTAAGTACTAGGAACGAAACCTAAGGCATTATTGTTTTCTCACTTGTGAAAACCACCCGTCCTTGTTTGTTCCAGTCTACGCTTTTTGGCTGCCAGCCGAGGCCTCAACTAATGTGCACAAGAGAATAAGAATTAACAAGTTGAGCTCGAAGAGGAAATGTTATGCAAGGAAATGGATATCGGCCCACTTCACCCATTCAAGAAATTTAGTCTAGAAATGCGTGTAACAGAGAAAGGAAGGCCTTCTTTCAACAGGAAAGCCAAAAGAAAATCATCTAAACTCTGAAAACCACAGAACACGCTCCGAATAGTCAAGCTTGACACTAGTTAGCAAATTATCATCACATCAAAACTGAGTCAAATATCTTTATCAAGCATGAAACAAATAAGACACCAGTTAAAGCCTGCTTGTGAAAACAGGTATAAAGAGAACAACAGATCTCTCATCATTCAGACGAGTGATAACACTAGACCGAAAACCAATTTTACGACGCATAGGAATACTAAATACAAAATGTCAAAAGATGTATGAAGAAAATAATCAAATGACTTCAGATTGGGGAGAATATGCTGTGCACCACTAAATTAGAAATGGATCAATTTGGGAAAAGATATCTCACACAAAAAGGCACTACTTTCTGAATTCTAGATCACAGCTGTAATGCCTAAAGAGTATTTTAACGGCATAAAGAAATTTGGTTTGGTAGAAGTTGCTTCCATATTAACAACCCAAAATGATGCCCAATACCTACTAATCTGCATTTGAGTTCCACTCAAAAGGAGGGCAGAAGTATTCAGAAATCGCAATTAGAGATGAATGTGGAACCTCAATGATAAGGTTCAAGAAAAATAAGATCATAGTTAAGCAAACCGTGCCAAAAAAGCGAATTTGTTCACAGAACAAATTGAAAGGGCAGATATGAGAAAGGGAAAAGAATTGCTTTTTTTATGCCCACAAAAAACCGAAGTCATGGAAATATTGTAAAACTTTAGACGGTTACAGTGATAATGAAATTGAAAAGAAACATGGCATACCATCTCTATATACTTCAGCTGCCTCAAAACTTCTTCAGTAGGTAGCTCCTGAAACAGTTGAACAAAGAAGAACATTAGTAACAAGGTGACTTTGTCTCCAAATGATTCTAAAAGGGGTTTACCACTCATATAACCTTGAGATAGTAGAAAGTTTACTGCTAAGGTTAGAAGAAAGAACTTGTTACTTGCTTTAAGGGGCAAAAGAACCTAGGTAGACATGATCTTATAGTAGAACAATTTTGTAGATGAAGATATTGTAATGAAATCCCTCAACCAAATTATAAATTATCATTATCTCACAGAGATGTTCATACTAGACAAGTCTCTTAGTGAGAAGGCAGCGAAAGCCAAAATGACCAGACGTTATCATTGGTGCTTGTGCTGGCACAGATGAAGCTTGATGTGATACAGCCATAACGAAAAATCAAGGAAAAACAATAAAAATGGCTTAATGGGTGTGGTACAATCTAAAAGTAAGAGATCAATATAACTCCAGACCAGATCCTGAAGATGTCTCACAAAATACTAAACAGTATCCACTAGAGTCCCTCTTTTCCTCACACTCAAGCTGTGGACATACACAAATCAGCCTTCATGTATACTTGTTTTGAGTTATGTCTTTAGCTTATAGATTATAGGTATAAATGTGTTTGAAATTCTACAATTGGGTAAGTGCTTGTATCCTCCCTCTGAAAATCTTGGCACCATCACTTATACTAATGGCTGACAAGCTAAAATGTCAACCGAAATCTACAATTTACCAAATAGTATTTGCAATCTTTCAAGAACTAGAACCAAAATGGTGACACGAAACAGAAAATAGTGCACTCACAAAAAATAAAAAAGTCATCTTGCACAGAATGGCTGCTGTTGGTCATGATAGAGCTAGTATATCAGCTTTTCATTTTGTCACCAGATTTGATATATTCTCAGTCAAGCTGATTTTTGTTCCCAGTCATAATGGCGTTCAGGAAGTTTTTTCCTTCACAACTAACAAAGGTGGTTACTGAAATGGACAAGGGTTTGGAGATTTTTGTTTCAGCAAACTTCCAATGTGTTTACCAACTAAAGTAATGTTTGATACTTCTCAGACATAATGGTCACCGAAGGCGAAGTGATTCTCAATAGTAGAGCTTATCGTGTATAACAATTTTAGGTTATACATCATAGGCAACCCCAAACATCTCCAGCTTAAACAAGTGTTTATTTCACTCAATCTATAGTAACAACACGAAAATTGGAAAGAAAAAATTATCTGCAAGTTCCAAACAACTTGAGTAGTTTAATAGCTTTGATTTGTTTCTGATTTGGCATCCATGCGCCACAGGCTGACCTTTTCTTGGCAAGACGTGACGCACTAGCAACCCAAAACATCCAACATTGAATCGCTAGCTCAACCTTAAAAACATGCAACACTTGCAAAAGATAAGTGTGAAATGATGAAAAGCTTAAGAAATGAAGAGGCCTTGAGCCAATCATAGGTGCAACCCCGAAGCCTTAGAATTCTAGAGAATCTATACAAAGAACTAATAAATATTCACACATCCAGATCATTTTAAATTAAATCTGCCCTCTAAAGCATTCTAAAGATTCTACAAGCTTTTATCGAATTCTACAATCTCTACATTACTCTAGACAAATCTATACAGGTGTAGTCTTGCATGCTCTACAAGACTCTTGAGCATTCCAGTACATTCCAGAATCTTCTGCAGCCTTCAAGAATGATGAAAAATGTCTGAAGGGGCATTGGAACCACCATAGAAGTGGGGTTTCTGACTTATATGCGCGCTAAAAGAATCAGACCTTAGCACATCAAAGCACTTGCAGAATCAAAGGTGCCTAGTGACAACCTCCTATTATTAGGTCCATTTCCTTTCACCATTTGGTCATACTCTAATGTCCATTAATGTGTTCCAAAGATGGGGCTGAGAGAAAGGTATCAAGCAAACAGTTTTAATCGGTTCTGGGACTGGTTATGCCTGAAATCTCAGATGTTTCTGCTATCTATAAGTCAATTTTATCATATGTATGGTACGTGCATATTCTTTATTGGTTTAAGTGGAGATTTTGGATAAAGTGACTGTTCATGCACGTTTATAGGGGAATATTTTTGGTAACAGGGTATGATGACCTAAAACAAACTTCGGAAAAGTATAACAACTAATATAGGCCTTCACTCACTGTAACTAAATTCGGACCCCTTTCCCGCCTCTGCGCTCAAGCAAATAAGACAATTAACCCAAAAATAAATTCAATGGAGATACCAAAAAAATTAAGAATTCTCAAAATATTTACGGATGCAAGAGAACGAGAAAGTGGGTAACAAAAGTAGACAAACCAGCAACAGGGAAAGCGAGAAAACAAAAGAGTGCATAAACTACCAAAAGTAATGACCCGGAAAGCTGGAATGTTAACTAGACTCACCTGAGGAACAGCACAATCGGCATGAGCTGGATCCCAGAGGACAGCACGGAAGCAATCCCAGTTATCCGTTTGAACTTCAAAAAGGGGAGCCCTTCATGTCAAAATAAAGGGCATTATCAGATTAAAAATCACAAACGTAGATCAGCATTTAGGGAAAAAAATAACGACAAAGAATTTTTTTTTAAAAAAAAAACTTGGAAGAGATGTAATAGTGCCCCCAGCATCCTTGTCTTAGAGCTTCAATTCAACTTCTAACCTGATTTGATATTATTATCTAGATTTCAAAAGAAAAAAAAAAAGGATGTGTCCTGTCTCCAGAACCAATTTAGGCAAGGAAATAAGAGAAAAGATGGAAAAATCATCGAAATTAGTGGCTACCCGCACCAAATAAATAGAGATACAGCTAGTAGCTTAGAAGTGATGAGACTTCAACTGACTCATATCATTAGGACCTCTAGTGAAAATTGAGTTTGTTACAGTATTAAGGATTGAAAAACTTGTACCAGGGTATGAAGAAGAACGCAACTATTTCGACTTGGAAACCTTTTCCAAGGATTAGAAATACTCCACTTGCATATTTTACTTCTCCAATAACCTACACATGTTTGTTTTCAACTGCTTTTGTAGATTGCAATTGGAAGATTATTAAAATCTTTAGCCCTCTGTGAAACCTTTTGAAAGGCGGGATACTAATTTCTGTTTGTCATTTCTGCATTCGGAAGAGCCAGATAAAAATCGAGAACTCTCCTTAAAATAAAGGCTAATTAACACGCCCAAATTTCATTCTGCTCTTAAATCAGTAGTATCTCACAGCTACAGAAATGACAATGATACCAGCTTAACTTCCAAACAGCAAAAAAGAACTTATATAAGGGTTCTTATAGCATCAGCGGCTGACACGTAAGACAATGATGAGTTTCACCGAGACACGCACAATATTAAAGAGAGAAATATCTAAAAAGAACACAAAACATAATACGAACATAAGATCCAAAGCTGCATCAGAATGCTTCTGTAATATAAATTTTCTCAGTGCAGAGAATGATTCCTATACAGATGATAAAGTCTCATAGTTAAAGCAATTGCAATAATCATAAAAGTCCTCAATCAGAAGTTTTGACACGAGCTTCTTAAATTACTGCACTGCTATGATTAAAATCAAGATCCTAACAGTTCTAGCTGAGTATTATGATTCCGAGTACTAAAATTAATTGAAGCTTAATATTCCATACAAACAGATACTTTTGCAAGATTTCAGAGTTCCTCAAAGACAATCTAATATCCCATTTCCTCCAGCAGCAGAGTAAAAAAATAAGTTTGACCGAACAATTAGGACCAAAATACAACCCCTAAACAGATTGTAGTTAATTGTCAATCACAAGGAACAAAATCAAAGAAGACATAGAGACAAACTTATCTGGAAAACCATTTAATTGTAAGGTAAAACAAGAACAAGACAATGAGATCCACCCCACTCAAAAAGAGCTGATGCAGCATAGTAGGTATCATGATCATCTGCTATAGATTATGACAAACCAGCAATTTGAGAACCTCATTTTGAGATTTCTTAGTAGATTTAGGTATCTTGTTTTGGCAGAATTTATACTACTCAAAGAAGTGTAATGTCAGAGTTGAAATGAAAAAAAGTAGATTGTTTTTGCACTGTTCAAAAGCACAAATGTTAACATATTTCCAATTCTAAGCATCCCTTACCAGAAACACGAGACACATTTGAAATTGTTCAAGACAAAAACCAATAAGCCTACCTCCGCCATTTTCCACATGTTGTTCCATCGGCATGTTGCCCAATTCCTTCAATAACTTCTTGGCATTGCACCCAATTACCAATAGAACTAAGCCGATTAGTCTTGGTAGGTTCCTGATACTGAAGTCAATATAAATCAGTGAGCTTTTTGGAAAGTTGGATCCTAAGTCTGGTTGCACCAAAAACAGAATTCTTACATTCAAATTCAGATAGTCTGAACAATCCATCTCTTCTGGTTCAGCCTCAGGATCATAATCACTAAAACAAAAATGAAGAATGTATAAGTAAAAGTAAAGAACAGAAGACAACTAAAACAAACTGTCAACAAATAACTAACTGCCATGAACAAACCAAGAAAATCTGCTAAATCTATATGAACAAACATGAAGCTGATATCTGCAGCAAGCAGAAATTGTATCCTATCAATTTTATAGTTATCTTCCTACACTCAGGCATAGCCAAAATCATTCAAAAAAAAAAAATAAAAAATCACTAACTGCAGTCGCAGATACAAAAGTAAGACATGCAGCAGAGGGTAGAATGGTGAAACCAATAATATTGAGAATTTGAGATAAAATAGCATAATAAAATGCCTATAGTAGACAAGATGGTCCCAGAATGCAGGCCCTAAATCCAGTAAAGGAGCCTCGAAATCATTCCAACTTAATAACTTAGTTTTACACACCACCACCAACAACTAAGCCTTTATCCCCAAACAATAGTAGTGGGTAATGGGCTAAACAGATAAAGAACTGAGAAAATTCAAAGAGGTACTAATTAATGTGTCACATATTAACTTGATAGATACTCATACTGATTGCAAGGCTCACACCCACAAAAGTACCAGTGACATTTCAATCAAGTGAGGCGCATTAAGCTGATGACAAATTTGATTTATTCAGCGTCATTCCTAATGCCAGCATTGGATGCAGAGAATCAATAAAAACAATGTCGAAACTATTTACCTCTATCCCAACACATCATCAAGATTTAAGTCAAAGTTCGAATATCACAAACTGCATAAACAAAAACCTCATAATCTGAAATACAAATGCAGCATGCAAATTTATGTCCACAGATTAAAATAATCCCTCAGTCCAAAGTCCAAATAAAAGCAGATCTCGAGGCATGGAAAGAATATTATTCAAAAGAACCAGTTAACACCTATTGGAGAAATGATCAAAATACATACTCAGTGGTTGAAGGATCCCAGTCAGGAACTTCTGCTTGAAATTTATGACCAATCCTCACGGTGAATTTGGGAGGCTCAATGTCTTTCAACATGGACTCTAAAGGCCCTAATTCACTAATTCTGCATCCGTTGCTTCCATTGCTGACATCCAATGAGCTATTAGTAGATTTCTCCTTTAACAATTTGTGCTTTTTTATCATGCATGGATAACAAAACCATTCATTATGAGGAATTCTCTTTATGCGAGGATTGCAGCACTTGGCATGGAAAGCATCATCACAGCTATCACAAATCAGCATATTTTGTGAAGCTTCTGAACAGTCACATACTTTACATTTCTGTACAGACCAGCTAGTCGTAACATTGTCTGCTGAGGAAAGATGATGGGAAGGAGATGCTTCTTCAAGCAGTCCCCGACTTTCAAGAATGGCAATGCAAAAATCTTTTCCTGACATAGAATCCCATGATCGCTCAGATAACAATACTCCGGAGGATGAACATTGTGCAGTATCCTCCACATCAGTCTTAAATGTGACAGCAACAACATCAAGATTGAACTTGGATGAAGAAAAACTATCATCAACACCACAGACATCTGAAACTATTTTCTTCCTGTTTCTCAGGACTTTTCCAGAACAAGGATCCTCACGATGGACACATTCATCCGAAGATCCGGAAAGAGAAGCACATCCATCCACAATATGTTTACTAGGAAGCTTAACAGGAGGAACAATATTTTCCATTTCAGTTTCAAGCGAAACCCCAAGTTCTTCTGTTTCAGCTTCATCAGACCTACTAGAAAAATTACACCCGCCACCCATTTGGGCGTTTATTACCACTTGCTTTGGGCAAATTCCATCAGAAATTGGTTGAAGCTTCCTTCTCCGGTATACATGTAAAGGGTTTGAATTCCCAGACATAGTGGAGGAGCTTGATATTCGCAAACCACTATCAGAATGATTTACAGAACTAGACACATCACTTCGTATCTCTCTTATCGAAACAAAATTCATGTATCCACCCAGTACCGAATCACAGGAAAAGTCTGGAGCCGCAATGTCAGACGCAAACGAGATAGCACCTTCTATGGCACCAGGCATCAAACTATGCATCAACATTGCACTCTAAAAACCATGAAAGTAGACGTTGAATCAATCTTTCAGTCTACACTTCAACTTCTCACCCAATGAACATTAAACCCTTTCTATCCCTTTCGTTATTTCCCTAAAATTTGAAGCGGAGACTCATGGCAACCAATTATAAATTTCCTTCTACACAATCCGTGAAGAACAAGAATCCAATAAATTAAACACAATGCAGTGGAATCTTCTCTACTTCGAATCGATGGGATAAAATTAAAAAAAAAAAATCAAAGAAAAGGTGTGACCTTTTGCTCCATGCGGCTTCGATCTGGACGAGAAGCTGGCAGTATGGCAAGCAATTCACCTTCTTTTGGAACTATTTCCTCTTCAGCAGCATCATCGGAAGGTTTAATTCAATCACCAGCTCCGTTTGGTGACTATCAGGCTCCAGTTCGTCAGAATCGATTTAATGTACTGGGGTTTAATGAGATTGGTTTTTAACGGGTTAAGGGAGTAAATTCAAGCCCAATTGTGGCTAGGGCATTGGATCGTCATATATTACTTATTATTACTTTTATTAACCAATAACCATTAATAAGATAAAACCGATGGCCAATGTATATTTGCCCAGAAAAAGAGAAGTGTGTGGAATTACATCTAATCGATATGTCTTCATTATAAGACTTTTTTTTATTTGTTCTAAATTTTATTTAATAGTATGTGTATGTTTTTTTATTTAAAAATAAAACCTTAAATATTTTATAATAATTGAGAGAAAACAATAAGTATGAAAATATATTTTAAGGATTTCTCTCTTCGACTCTTTCTCTCTCTAGGCGATTTCAGAACATGAGATAGTTATGGCAAAGGACAAGCAGAAAGGGAAAGAAATCCTCACCGCCAGTAAGATTAGTCACGCCGATTGACAGTACCATGGGTAAATCGACTTTTAGATCTGAAATGGCAGTTTCGGGGAAGGAAGCAGGTCGAGAAAGTGCGATTGAAATACAAAACCGTAGGGGGACACTTTTCAAGGGGATTAATCTGCCGGTGAATAGAATTGATGGTGAAGAAACGAAGACGCTCAGTGATCTTTTAGGCTTTCCTACAGCAAGACGTATTGATTGGTTAAGTCAGAAATCACTAGATCTGGAACAGGGTCATTAGTGTTGGGAACAACTAGATTTGAAGAAATTGAAGAAAGTTGGAGCGAAACTGGATTATTTTGCTCCAAAGGAACATGATGGCAAGAAGATAAGTCAGATGCAAGCAAAAGATGTTCAGGCGGAAGCAGAATACTGGGATTACTCAATCATCAGCTTTGTATTGGGAGCGCATCCCCCTCTTCCAGTCATGGAGCATTGCTATCGCAACTTATGGAAAGGTAATGTTGATAAAGTCTTACTGTTGCCTTCTGGGTTATTTTTGGTGAGATTTAAATCAGAATTTGCTAAGGATGAAGATCTCAATCTAAATATTTATCATATGGGGGCCCACCCGGTCATAGTTAAGCCTTGGAGTGTAGAAATAGGCATTAACATTAAGAAAATCACTCATGTTCCAATTTAGTTGCAATTTCCTGGTCTGGAACTTAAGTACTGGAATCCGGCATCTTTGGGCAGATTAGCTAGCAATTTGGGGCGACCAATTATGGTTGATGTAGAGACCACTGAGAAACTAAAGGTGCAATATACCAGAGTGCTAATTGATGTTAAGATACAAGATTTTCCCCCAATTGAGACTTATTATAAGGATGAGAAGGGTGTTGTACAAACTCAGACAGTATACTATGAATGGAGGCCCACAAGATGTAAGCATTGTCAGGGTTATGGGCACGGTGGAGAAGATTATAGGAAGAAAGAACATCCCAGAAGAGCTCCAATGGATAAAGTAGTAGAATCAAAATATGCTAAGGGGACTGAAAAGGAGTGGAGGAAAGTTCAAAAAGGGAAAGCTGTTGTATCAACAGAAGACTTTGATGATCCGGTCACTTTAGTAGAGGAGTTTATTCAGCAGGAGCAACAACAACGTTTGGAGCCGGTTGTCTTGCAGAAACAATGGGAAATGCAACAGTCCAAATTTTCTGTGCTGGCAAATAATGAGATTGCAGGACCAAGCAATGTTGAGAAGGAAGTATCCCAGAAAGAAGAAAGTGAAATCCCTAAAGTCCCTGATCCAAGTAATCTATGACGATCATCTTATCTTGGAATATAAGAGGCCTAAATAGCCTCTGCAAGCAAAGGGAAGTTAGTAGATTAGTAGCAAGATATAAGGTTGATATTGTATGTTTAGTAGAAACAAAATTTACTCAACAGAATGGGGAAGCATATATTAAAAGAATGTGGCCGAATCATGAACACTTTTTCAATTTCACTTATAGTGCTCGAGGAAGAATATGTATTATTTGGAGGAAAGATAATATTTCATTGTCAGTAGTGAATTGTTCAGATCAACTAGTGCATTGCAAAGTTTGTCCTTATACTGGTGGGGAGTTCCATCTTACTATTATATATGCAAGTAACAACCATGCAGAAAGATCTCAACTATGGGAGGCTTTAATTTTATTAGCTACGAATACTAGAGGAGCCCAATTACTAGCAGGGGATTTCAACAATGTATTAAGGTCGAATGAAAGAAAAGGTAATAATCAAGTCTCCTTAACAAAAATATAGGAATTTCAGAGGTGTGTGGATATATGTGAGCTTCAAGATATGAAACAGCAGGGACACTTCTTCACTTGGAGCAACAAGCAACTGGGGGATGCAAGGATCATGTCCAGAATTGACAGAGCCCTAGTCAATCTGGCCTGGTTTTTGCAATATGAAAATTCACTGGCAACTATTTTAGCTGAAGGAGTTTCTGACCACACTCCTTTTATAATTCAGACAGATGTGCAAGTAAGTCATTTGCCTCGACCTTTTAAGTTTTTAATATGTGGTGTTTGGATGAGAATTTTCTTAGTATGTTAAAAGTAGCTGGGAGCAGCAGATTAAGGATACTAAATTGTTTCAGGTAGTGAAAAAGTTAAAGAGACTTAAGCCTGAATTGAGAAAGCTTGATAAGCAGAATTTTGTGGATATTCAGAAGAGGAGCCTTGAGGCTTTTCAAAGATTAGTGGAAACACAAAATCGAATTCATGCAAACCCCTTATGATTTAGCAACACAGAAAAAAGAGAGAAGTAGAAGCCAAGAATATTTTCAATTAGCAAAGGCACAGGAACTGTTCTGGGCACAAAAAGCTAAAGAAGCTTGGATTCAGGAAGTAGATAGTAATACGACGTTTTTTCATGCCAAGGTCAAGCAGAGGAATGCTAGAAATAGAATATGGTCTTTTATGGAAGATGATGGAACTCTGAAAACGGATTGGAAAGAAGTGGAACAATATTTTCTATCCTTTTTTCAGAAGCAGCTGGGTCAGAAAACTGAGAGATGCAAAGCAGACTTCAGTGTTTTTCTACAGGGAACAAGACTCACAGTGGATCAGCAAATGGATCTCATTAAACCAGTTTCTGACAATGAAATCAGGAGAGCTCTCTGGAATATTAATGGTAACAGGAGCCCAGTACCTAATGGGTTTTCTAGTGAATTTTTCAAGAAAACTTGGCAGATAACGGGGCAGGATGTAATTGATGTAGTTAGAGAGTTCTTCTCAGCAGGATGTATGCTAAAGCAGCTTAACTCGACTCTGTTTGCTCTTATTCCAAAAATAGACTCTCCTAGAAATGCAGGAGAATATAGACCCATTGCATGCTGCAATGTGGTCTATAAATGCATTTCTAAGGTCATTTGTGAAAGGATGAAGGACGTGTTGGCTGTTTTAGTTAACGAGAACCGGAGTGCTTTCATTAAGAACATGCTTCTCTTGCATAATGTTCTTATAGTGCGGAGCTGATTCGATTGTACAGAAGGAGAAATATTTTTGGCAGAGTTTTAATGAAGATTGATATTCATAAGGCTTATGACATTGTGGAATGGGAATTTGTCGAGGAGATGCTTACTAGTTATGGTTTCCCGCGGCAGTTCATTGGGTGGATCATGGCCAATGTCACAACGCCTTCATATTCCTTAGCAATGAATGGTACTAAAGTTGGGAACTTTGAAGGAAAGCAAGGACTTAGACAGGGGGATCCTGTCTCGCTGTATCTATTTGTACTTGTAATGGAATTTCTCACCAGAAAGCTTAGAATGTTAGGAGAAACTCCTTGGTTTAAGTTCCATCCTTTATGTAAGGAGCTTAAACTAACTGATATTTGTTTTACTGACAATTTAATGTTGTTTTGGAAAGCAGATGAAAGTACCATTCATAGACTTATTGCAGGATTCGAAGAATTTTCGGCTTCAACAGGCTTGTTTCCGAATAATGAGAAGTCTCAGATATTTTTTGGTGGAGTGAGTACTGAAAAGAAGCGAAGAATATGTGCAATAACAGGCTTTGCTGAAGGTCAGTTCTCTATGAGGTACCTTGGGGTGCCTCTATCCCCTAAAAAATGGTCTAAGGTTGACTCTGACAGTTTAGTTCAAAAAATGATGGCTAGGTTAAAATGTTGGGAGTCTAGACATTCATCCTATGCTGTCCGAGTGCAATTAACAAATTCGGTTCACTAGTAGTGTAATCAAGCAAGTCACTAGGCTGTGTAGAGAGTTTATCTGGGGGAATAAACAGACTGGGAAATTAATCCCCTTAGTAGCTTGAGATGTAATGTGTAGACAGAAATCAGCAGGGGGATTGGGGCTTAGAGATATTAAACTGTGAAATCAAGCTGCAATTTTGAAACAAATTTGGAATCTAGCTTGTAAAGGTGATACATTGTGGGTGAAATGGATTCATGGTGTGTATCTGAAAAATCAGTCTATTTGGGAGGTTGAAAAGAAGCTTGATTCCAGTTGGCACTGGAAACAGATTCTCAAAATTAGAGATTTGGGTAAGAATGGTTTTGATGGTTACAAATGGAAGGGGAATGGGACTGGTCTGTATAGTATATCAGCGGGTTATGAATGGCTAAAAGGAGCGGAAACAAAAGTTCCTGAAGCTAGCCTGCTGTGGTCTAAACTCAATGTGCCCAAACATGCTTTTATTGCATGGTTAATGTGGCAGGCCAGACTGTTGACTAAAGACAGGTTTAGCACAATGTTCATCACAGAGGTAGACCCTCTGTGTGGGTTATGTAAAACTTGTGCTGAAAGTCATAGTGGCCTGTTTTTTAACTGTGTAGACACTACTACTGCTTTCACTCAAATCAGAGATTGGCTTGGTGTTAGTTCCTTTGCTTTGGACTGGGATGTTTGGAAAAGAGCTGTTAGAAGAGTATGGAGAGGAATTAGGTTCAAGTTTCAGCTATGGAATGCAGCAGTTGTGCCAGTAAGCTATCATTGTTGGGAAGAGAGGAACAATACCATCTTCAGAGGAATAAGAAGAAGACTAGAAGAGATGGTGAAGCAGATCAAAAGGGAACTATATTGGAGGGTCAGGATGAATCAAAATAGAAAGTTTATTGCACAGGAAGAAAGTCTTATTAAAATGTATTTTCCAGAACAGTGCTATTTAGTAGAATAGCAGAAATTTTGACTTTGTTTTGGTTGTAAATATGCGCTTCTTGGTATATAATGAAAGTATTTACAGATTCCCAAATATATATATATATGTTTT